TGACGGTGTGTGCCCGTAATCCCAGCCACTCGGGAGGCTGAGGCAGGAGAATCACTTGAACCCAGGAGGCAGAGATTGCAATAAGCTGAGATTGCACCACTGTACTCTAAGACAGAACAAAAAACCAACACAAAAAAAAAAAAAAAAAAAAAAAAAAGGAAAGGAAAGGAAAAGAAAAAACTGGTGCTAGGAACCCAAATTATTATTTCCTGAAAAAATCCTTTTTCAAAACACGTAGTTTCTTAGTCAAAGGTTTCAATGAAATCAGAGGAGAACCAAAAGGATTTCCCAATAACAGTTTTTTTTTTTGAGACAGAGTCTTGCTCTGCCACCCAGGCTGGAGTCCTCCGTCTCCCGGGTTCAAGAGATTCTCCTGCCTCAGCCTTCTGGGTAGCTGGGACTACAGGAACCCGCCACCACGCCCGGCTAATTTTTGTATTGTTAGTAGACACAAGGTTTCACCATGTTGGCCAGACTGGTCTGGAACTTCTGATCTCAAGTGATCCACCCACCTCAGCCTCCCAAAGTGCTGGGATTACAGGTGTGCGCCACCACACCTGGCCGAGATCACTGACTTTCACATGAATCTGGAAGAAGCTTCAGTGCTGACACTAGGCCTGTGCAACCATCAATGAACACAGAACTAGTCAGGCGGTTTTCTTTAAAGCTAACAATATTAAGAAAGGCATCTTAGTAACATTTTAATTTCTGATGTTATAAGAATGTTATAATTTTGCCTTTTATCAATTTTGTTATTTATAGACAAATGCGTCTTTAATATTTATATCTGTATATTGCTGCTGCAGAGAAAAGACATGACTAATAAATGACATTTAGGCCTGAAGTACACGACTCGTACAAAATCTGTGGGGGAGCGTGAGATGGAAAGACGGGGCCACAGCCGAGGGGGTCTGGGCCACTCCTGCCTGGTCCATGCACGGGTGAGTGGACATCTAACAACGGCTGTTTTGGAGTCCAGCAGTACACTTAAAATAAATAATCCCGTAAGAGTTTTACTTTAAATCATCAGTATTCTCAACAGTGGAAAATTAACATACTTGCTTAAATTTGTAATGAAAAATTTTACATAAATATGTAAAAGGGTTACAGTTTTTCAAACTGCTTCTAAGAGAGGTGGACCCAGGCGGCCTCTGACCTGCACGGGGGGCACACCTGGCATGTTTCAGAAATGCACATTCTTGGGCCCCACACGAGACATGCCTAGTTGGGAACTCTGGGGAACGCAGCCCTCTGGGGAATTCTGACACATATCAAGTCTGGGACTCACGGAGGCCCACGCCGTCTTAAAAGCGGGAAGAATGACTTAGACCAGGACGCCACCTGCCTGCCCTCCCTGCTTCCATTTCCTCCCAGCTACTTGCAGGGCCACCAGGAGCATCCACAGCCACAGTTTCCCAGAGAGAAGGGGAGGGGGAAGCCTGGGCAACTCTCCATCACCAAGAAGGCACAGTGCTTGGGGAAGAAGGCATTCCAAGGAAACTGATGACGGCAAACTCTGCAATCTACCGACAGGCAGGACGTGTTGGAAACTGCTGCTTAAAAACAGAAACTCTCGGGTGGCTAGTCTTCCCCAGAAAAGGTTCCAGACCTTGTTCTTCCATAAATCTGGAGAGACGGAAGGTGGTGCTGAGTCACAGGAGGAGCTACCTGCAGGTTTCAAGGTCTCTATTTTTAACATTCGGTAAGGATTTGAAGGTCATGGTAAAGCCTTCTGATCCCTACTCTCTTTCAAAGAAAGTGTCTCATGGGCAGAGAGACAGTTTTGATTGGCAGCTTTGAATCTATCTGCTTGAGATCCTGCAAACGTCAGGATCAGCCCATGCAGCCGCCGACAGCCACGTGTACCCAACCCAACCCAGCACAGCACGGTGCAGTGCGACCACTGCCACACCCCTCTGCTAGGCCCCAACGCCCATGCTGACCTGGCAGCCAGCTGGGACTCCTACCCTTTCCACATTCCCAGGGCAGGGCGAAGGCAGAGAACCTGGTGTCGGTGCAGAGGTTCTGCTGTCTCCAACTGTCAACGTCACAATCTGTGCAGTTTCCGTGCCTCTCCCCCACCCTCAGCAGCACAGCGCCGCCAAAGGGCAGGCAGGCCACGCGAAAAGGCAGGTGACGGCTCCACACAGGAGCTTTGAGAGCCACAGCCTACGGCCCACTGCAGTCTGCTTCCTGGCCACACCCAGGAAATCTACAAAAGGCGAGGGTCTTTTTCTCTCTCAAGGTATTAGAAACTCTCCTCTTTTCAGACAGGTCCTCCAATGGGGATCCCATGACAGCCGACTTCACAAGCACTTCCTACAGCATGATTAGACTTCCTACAGCTTAGAAATGCAAACATTTCCCCAGACAAATGTTAAAATTATTAGAACCAAAACCCTGAGTGAAGGGCCTCTGCTCCCAATACCCACACCGCAGCGAGCCGCCGGCACTTCTTACCATTGTTCACCTGGCCGTGGGCCGCAGTGGGGACGGACGTCACGTGAGCGCCGTTTTGCGTTACAGTTTTTATCGGCAGCTGGTGTTGACCTAGAGGTGCCTGTTGTACTATGGTCACCGTCTGGACCGGGGTGGTCTGTGCCGTCTGGATGATCCGGCTAGCAGTGCCTAGCGTGGCATGGCCAATGGCGGGAATAGGCTCCACTTTCACTGAAAGGAAAAGGAAAAGAAACGACACTAATGTTACTGGAAAGCCAACAGAAAGAACTTACCAGTTTAAAATATAATCATCAGATGGTTATCAGACCTGCTAGAAGATGCCTCTAAAACAGAGAGCGAATGACAAAGGGTGAAGAAATCTTACGGGCGTCCAAGGGTGTGAGGCTGAAGGGGGCAGCCTCTCTGTGCCCACTGCCCACCTTTGACTTCCCTGTGATCTCCGTTCTCCTGGGGCTCTGCCTTGGGAGGGGCCAGCACAGCTGCAGGGGCGACCACGGCTTGTCCAGAGACAGTGTACGTGCTCGCTGGGGCCAGCCCGGCCACACTGGCAACCGACACTGCTGGTATCTGGTGGACGACGTGAACCGTCTGCACGACGGGTGGCTGGGCGGCCGAGGTGGTCACCGGGGTGGCTACAGTGTAGGTGACAGGCTTGAGGGCCTGCGGTAGCTGCCGCTGGACGGTGATTAAGACTGGCTGACTGGACAGAGGTGACCCTGGTGGAAGACACGAGCAGGACTGACACTCACAGATACTGACCTCTGCAAACAAAGGTTCCCACACTAAGCACTGACAACACACAAACCTGATATAAAATACAGGACGCGGCCCTATTTTACCTCACAACAGCCACATTACTAACGATGAGGGAGGTGTCGTATTTTAATAGGGGCATTTAATTCCTATCTGTAACTCCTAAAAATGCAATTTTGGCTCTGTTTAGATACCTCATAACACCTCTTCCCACAGTTCCTTTTTCATAAAAAAGAAAATGTCAATACACAACATAAGAGGAAACTGGGCCAGGCATGGTGGCTCCCTGCAATCCCAGCACTTTGGGAGGCTGAGGTGGGAGGAGTTTGAGACCAGCCTGGGCACAGGAAGACCCTGTCTCTACAATAAATATTAGCTGGGCATGCTGGTGTGAGCCTGCAGCCCCAGCTATGTGGGAGGCTGAAGAGGAAAGGCTGCTTGAGCCTGGAAGGTGGAGACTGCAGACAGCCAAGAACATGCCCCTGTACTCCAGCATGAGCCGCAGAGCAAGACCTTGTCTCAGGACAATCAAAAACAACAGAAGAAGAAACTCCCCATGTAGGCCAGAAAGACGAGGGCCACACTCACCTTGGATCAACACCTCCCTCTTGAAACAAGTGGAAGGGAAGCAGGAAGTTCAAAAACAGCGTGGGGCTGTCACAGAGCCTCTGGCACCCAGCCCTTGCCCTTTGTAGTTTGGGGGTTAGACCAGAGAGAGACATGGCTGTCAGGTGCTACTGACAGTGGGCAGGGGAGAGTGTTCTCTGGCCCAGCATGGCCAGAAATCCCAACTGATCCAATTCACATTGCTGTCCACTGTAACAGACTTAGTTTGGACACATGTCCACACTATGTTTGTTTGTTTAATTCCCCAGGGCACACATTTTTATTCCACATTATGATTTTCTAAGTAAACTGCAAAGTGTTTACCTATTTCTTAAAATGGACAGGTTAGGCTGAGCGAAGTGGCTCGTGCCTGTAATCCCAGCACTTTGGGAGGCTTAGGCGGGTGGATGATGAGGTCAAGAGATCAAGACCATCCTGGCCAACATGGTGAAAACCCATCTCTACTAAAAATATAAAAATTAGCTGGGCATGGTGGCGGGTGCCTATAGTCCCAGCTACTCGGGAGGCTGAGACAGGAGAATCACTTGAACCCAGGAGGCGGAGGTTGCAGTGAGCCGAGATGGTGCCGCTGCACTCCAGCCTGGGCACCAGAGCGAGACTCCGTCTCAAAAACATAAATAAATAAAAAGGACATGCTTTTGCTTCCAATCAGTGTCTAGTTTGTCTACTTTATGGGTTTTTTTTTTCCGGGGGGGGGGGGTGTCATTTCATGGATTTTTGAATGACAAGCTTAGAAACAGGTTAATCCTAAGTTATTTCAGGCATCCATACACAGTCATTTAAAGAACACTCACTGATTTTTAAGAATATTCCCAGTGCTACCAGTTTTGCAAGGCCTATAAAACGACACTCAGATCCTGATGTAAGGTACGGAGGGACAGAGAGGCCTCTTGGGAAGTCCAGCTGCTCCTTCTCTGCTGAGCCCAGCGTCTGTGTCTGGCTCATGCTGTCTGGCCCGCGCTTCCTCTCCCGCTGTCTCACCTGGTGCACTCTGGGCAAATCGGGCTTCCTGGATGACAGCGAGTTTGGGCTGCGCGGTGCCAGGCTCAGGCTCCAGGGGGGCCGGCGAACCTTCCCTCGACAGGCTCTCAGGGGTCTGGGCGCCACTAGAGTGAGCAGACAGCACTCCAGCGTGATTGGGAGAGGCTGGGGCACTCCTATGTCACCGAGAAGAAGACATTGTGTTTTTATAGGTGATGTACTCAGACAGCACTTAATGTTTTAATAAGTGCACTTTGCAAAGGGGGTGTCGTTTGTCTCCTGCCAACCGACTACCGCTGTGTAAGTTTTGCTTCTCTGCACGCCTGTGAACTGAGCGGGGCATTCAGCAAGACAGGCTGAGCCTGTGTGTGACGGGCCATCACGTGCTCCAAGCTCACATGCACAGCATGGCCGTGGGGTGGGGCTGGCTGCCCTTTCTCTCTAAGCAGTTCCTGTGCACAGATGGCAGGAGCCAGCAGCGGGCAAGTCGGTGGGCACTTAAGACTTACGTTATGCTCATTTTTTTGTTGTTGTTAAAAACAGTATTCGTAAAGCTAAAAATAAGGAATTTTAAACTCTGGCAAATTAACACTGTACAAGTCAACTCAAGTTTAAGCAGCTAAAAAGTAAGTTTCTTTTTTTTTTTTGAGACGGAGTTTCGCTCTTTTGCCCAGGCTAGAGTGCAGTGGCGAGATCTTGGCTCACTGCAACCTCCACCCCGCCCCACCCCCAGGGTTCAGGCGATTCTCCTGCCTCAGCCTCCCCAGTAGCTGGGATCACAGGCATGCACCACCACGCCCGGCTAAGTTTTTTAAATTTCTAGTAGAGACGGGGTTTCACCATGTTGGCCAGACTGATATCGAACTCCTGACCTCAGGTGATCCACCCACCTCGGCCTCCCAAAGTGCTGAGATTACAGGTGTGAGCCACCGCACCCGGCCTCTAAAAAGTAGTTTTAAAGAACTTTTCCTGTGCCAAAGAAAAGGGAAAATGTCAATGTGGCACTGGTGTGAACAGTATGTGATAAGCCCCATGAAGCAACAATCTCGCTTTGGAGTTCGGTTTAAGCCAAACTTTGCAAATGGTCTAAAATGCTCAGACCACTAGAACCAGAAATACTTGGACAGCAACAAAACTTTTGCTCAATTCCCATCCCAACATTCAATCATAATGCATTTGGCAGTTCCTCCATTTTCAAATGGAAATTTTACCAAAACATTGGCGGTAAGTTCAGTGACCATTAGTGAGGCCTTTTTGTTCCTTTTTTTTCCTTACCTAGAAGAGAGCGGTCCCAGAGGGGTTCTAAAGCAAGGCACGCCCCTAGGCCGTCTTTTCCTAAAAGCCTGTTCTATTAATTTGCTTTCAGAGGCGGGATCTATCCTCCAGAATGAGCCTTTGCCTGGTTCTTCCTGGGAACGCGGTACTTTGATGAAATAACGATTCAGAGAGAGATTGTGGCGAATTGAATTCTATGAAACATAAAAAAATACGTAGAATTCATATATTTCTTTGCTGAGAAATAAAAATGTGTCCTAGTTTTAGTGCCCTGCAAAGCAGAAACCTAGATGTTGGGCTCCGGCAGATTGCAAGAGTGAAGTTTTTTCTTTTGCGTCACACGGGTAATGTGCTGACATCGTAACAAGGTCTGAGGGAGGCCCGTTCTACAGAGGAGCGTGAAAACCCAGTCGTCATGCTTCCAAACTACCACCTTTATGGGCAGCGCTGTGTGGAAGGAGCAGCCCACCCCCTTGGTGAGCAATTCTCAAGGAAAGTAGCAGCCTGGGGTTTGAGCCCTACAGCCCAAGGCCACTAGGTGCTTCCAAAGAGGAAAGTACACCACACCCCGTGGCAGAATGGGCCCCGGGAGGCAGGGTGGGGAGCTGGAGCATGGAGGGATGAGGAATCCGCACAGCGTGGACAGAGGCCATTTCTGACTCCATCGCCTTTCAAGGTGGGAAACCCAGGACTATGACTGTCAGCACAGAGCATTCCAGGTAGAGCCAATGACTTAGCTGTCAACCTCTCCCTGCTTGGAGACAAACAGAGCTGATGTGAGCCATTCTGTTAAAATACTTTCTCGCACAGAATTAGCTTACAGAATCTGTCATGCCATTAAAAGTAAATTAATCCAGTATAAAGTATTTGGCAAACCAGCAAAAAAGAAAAATGAGCAGAAAGCTGGAAATCAGGATGGATACCATCTTCCAGGAACAGAGGACTTGGCAAAGTGCCTCCCTTTTTTATTTGATCCTTGAAATAATCCTGCAAGGTACACAGGAAAAATGTCCCTCCCAGCTCCTCATCAGTGCATCATTCCTTCTATTACAAAAAGCCGGACGGGTGCGGTGGCTTACCTGAGGCCAGAAGTTTGAGAGCAGCCTGGCCAACATGGTAAAAAGCTGTCTCGATCAGCCGGGCGCAGTGGCCTGTGCCTATGGTCCCAGCTACCCAGGAAGCTGAAGCTGAAGCTGAAGAACTGCTTGAACCCGGGAGGTGGAGGTTGCAGTGAGTGTACACTGCGCCACTGCACTCCACCCTGGGCAACTGAGATAGAGCCAGACTCCGTCTCAAAAAAAAAAAAAAAAAAAGCCCAGCTAAGGGTTTCCAGACAACCTGAAAAAAGCCCCCCGCCCCTGCTGTGACCTGATTCGCGCTGACGAAAGCTCGGTTCACATAAACATTTCATGAATTGATGTTAATGTGTAGATTCAAAAGTAAGCTATCAAAGTGTTAAAACGGTGGTAACTCAAACAAAATCTGAAGCGATCCAAAAGATCATTTCTAAACACCCCATTAACCTTATTAGAATTGCAAGCCTCAGCCTGAAATTCCAAACTGTCAAAGGTGACTAAGAAATCCCACATGTGAAATAACACTTTCCAACCAACCTCGGGAGTGTTCAAGTGCCATCCTAACGCCTTTGGCCCCTGTGGATGGAGGAACTTCATGGGCAACACGAGGAGGTGGGCTCAGCTGTGCATGGGATTTGTGAAACTGCTTACAGTAAGTGCATCGGATGAGAGAACCACAGACACTCGCCATGTTTTATCACTGGTTTTGGCTGATGCCCAGCCTTTCTATCAATGCCTCCAGAAAATCAAACATCACTGTTACCGCTGCCCTGACAAAGACAGAGAAGGGAAAGCTTTGCGGACTGCTCTCAGAATTTTAAGTGTGAAATAGAGAGTAGATTCCAAGACGCTGTATGAGGAAAAGCAAATGCAGATGATGGTAACAGAAAAGGCTCCAGCGGTGGAAGCGGCAATCCCAGGCACTGCCTTAGGGAGGTGACAGTCACCCTCGCTGTTCTTGCTGGCCCGATCCTCCCAAGCAGGAACTCAGAAAGAACTCCTGCCCCACACAGCGTCTGAGGCTGAAGAGCAGACAACATTCGACAAGCCCCAGTGAAGACTGTGGCTGCCCTGCCTGATGTGGAGTCATTTAATGGCACGCTGTTAGGAGGAAAGGTTAGCACAGTGGGAATCTGGAAACACAAAGGGTGACTTCGGGGAACCGGGCTTTCAAGCCATGTGAACAATAAGGACACGATGGGCCAGAAGGCGTGACGCAGGAGCGTCACCACCACCATCACTGTGAGATGCAAATAAGTTCGTGGAACTGGGGAGCTGCTATTTTCTGTCCTGAAAACGTAAAATAACCCAGTCCGCGTCATCAGAATAGATTCTAACCTGTTTTATTCTCTGATCCACCTCCCTAAAAACAATCCCAAGAGCAAATGAGGAAAGATTATTTGTGATTTGCCAGGCAGGAGACTCTAGAAAATATGAGGAAGCAATGAGACATTTAATGCAGACACAAACAGAATAAAGTAACTATGTTTCTAAGGTAATTTAAGGCCGTTGTAATTTGATCAACCCAGGATGGATGTTCCTTCATTCTATTGCTACATTTATTAAAACCACATTAATTGGACTCCACTGATTCAGAAATTATAAAGCTTTCAGAGAAAATGTGGGCTGTTATTCTTTAACGCCAAACAAGAAGAACAGGATCTGCAATTTTGGGCCAATTTTCTTTCCCTCAAAGCCTTTCCAAATTGAGCTTCTACTGAAAATCAGCCCTTCCTGAGCAGCAGCTCCCTCCCTTCTGGGGTTCCACTCCGTGCCTTCCTGGTGAGCCTTTCTAAGCAGACCCCGAGTTTCTCGAGGACAGCTTGTCTACTTAACCTTGCCCAGCCCTGGGTGCCCCTCCAGTGTGCATTCTGCACAGAAAGGAGGTGTGCAGAAACTGAGAAGGGACAGCCAGTTCATTGCAGAGGATGCAGGATGGGTCTAATGTACAGGAACGCTGCCAAACAGCAGGGGTGAGGGTAAGTGCAGAGCATGGTCCTCACTCTAAAAGAAACCAAGGCATGGGTGCAGTGGCTCACAACTATACTCCCAGCACTTTAGGAGGCCGAGGCAGAGGATGGCTTGACTCCAGGAGTTTGAGAACAACCTGGGCAACACAGTGAGATCCTATCTCCATGAAAATGTTTTTTAAAAGTAGCCAGGTGTGGTGGTACACACATGTTGTCCCAGCTACTTGGGGGAATTACTTGAGCCCAGCAGGTTGAGGCTACGGTGAGTTATGACTGTGCTACTACATTCTAGCCTTAGTGACAGAGCAAGATCCTGTCTCAAAAAATAAATAAAAGAGGCCGGGTGCGGTGGCTCATGCCTGTAATCTCAGCACTTTGGGAGGCCAAGGCATGGTGAAATCCCAACCCTAGTAAAATACAAAAATTAGCTGGGCATGGTGGTGCACATCTGTAGTCCCAGCTACTCAGGAGGCTGAGGCTGGAGAATCGCTTGAACCCGGGGGGCAGAGGTTGCAGTGAGCCGAGATTGTGCCACTGCACTCCAGCCTGGGAGACAGAGTGAGACTCCGCCCCATCAAAATAAAATTTAAAAACCAGCTCTAGTCCTCTTGGAGTGTGAGAGCCCAGTCTTTTCAAACTTTTCATAGTCACAACAACTATCTCAGTTCTGGGCTCGATAAAATTATAAAACCATAAAAAGTCATTTTGGAGTCAGTGAGGCCTGGAGCTGCGGCATTCGTGGTGCAGAGAGCCCAGTGGGGCACAGAGGCTGGGCCGGTGCATGGCCACAGCTAAGTACCCAGGGCTGGGCCTGGCATGCAGGCGCTGACCCGACTGAGCAGTGAGCGGGCTGCCGCACCTGGCATGCAGGTTGGGCCTCGGCGGGGGCGGGGGGAGCAGCAGCGGCAAGGAGCCCACTCAGAGTGGCAGCAACACACACATTAGAAGAGAGCTTTGGCCTTGGCCATTCTGGTTTTTTTTGTTTGTTTGTTTTTAAAATAATTTTCACTTTTTTTTTTTTTTTTTTTTGTGAGACGGAGTTTCGCTCTTGTTACCCAGGCTGGAGTGCAATGGCGCGATCTCGGCTCACCGCAACCTCCGCCTCCTGGGTTCAGGCAATTCTCCTGCCTCAGCCTCCTGAGTAGCTGGGATTACAGGCTTGAGCCACCGCGCCCAGCCTGGCCATTCTGGTTTTAAATGGCAAGCTATAAGCTCTGTGTTTTTCTGCACTGATGTGTCACTTATTAAATACTTCTGTACCATAAAAAAAATCATTCTGGGAGGTAAATGCAAACAAGGGAAAGACAGAGGCCATCTTCTCAGACAGGATTCCTCAGACGATCTCATCACACCCTCGGATGTCCTCTGTGGATTAACAAAAAGCCAGGCCATAGGGACACGATGTAAGACACTGGCTTTTGTTTTCAGCCAGGAAGTCAGAATCAGGTCTGCTGCACTGGGAAGGGCGACTCAGAGAATCTCATGACAGAGAAAGGGCCCATGGGGGTCAGTATGCCAACAGCCAGGGGTACAGCTGAGGACAGAAAGAATTTAAGAGGACATGTCCGGCCGGGCACGTTGGCTCACGCCTGTGGGACGCCGACGCGGGGGATCATGAGGTCAGGAAATCAAGACCATCCCGGCTAACACGGTGAAACCCCATCTCTACTAAAAATACAAAAAATTATCCGGACGTGGTGGCATGTGCCTATAGTCCCAGCTACTTGGGAGACTGAGGCAGGAAAATCTCTTGAAACCAGAGGCTGAGGTTGCAGTGAGCCAAGATCGCACCACTGCACTCCTGCCTGGGTGACGGAGCAAGACTCCATCTCAAAAAGAAGAGTACATGCCCATGAACTGGGGCTATCTGAAGGAAATAATCCCTCTCTGCTAAATTAGCTGGAGCTACAAGGCATGAAATGACACAAAAGCAGCCTTACTGGGACAAGAGATGCAGCTGCAGACGTACAGACCTTGATCCAGACAGGAAAGAAAATCTTTCAATAAATACAAGTTTAGGCCGGGCGCGGTGGCTCAAGCCTGTAATCCCAGCACTTTGGGAGGCTGAGGCGGGTGGATCACGAGGTCAAGAGATCGAGACCATCCTTGTCAACATGGTGAAACCCCGTCTTTACTAAAACTACAAAAAATTAGCTGGGCATGGTGGCGCGTGCCTGTAATCCCAGCTACTCAGGAGGCTGAGGCAGGAGAATTGCCTGAACCCAGGAGGCGGAGGTTGCGGTGAGCCGAGATCGCGCCATTGCACTCCAGCCTGGGTAACAAGAGTGAAACTCCGTCTCAAAAAAAAAAAAAAAAAAAAAATGCAAGTTTAATAACAGTTCAATAGAGAGGGGTGCTTGACGTGTGTTAGTCCGCAATTCTCTGCCTAAGTGGGCTGTGCAGGCACCCGCAGTAGCTGGCAGAAAGCAGTGCATGCATGAGAGGTCCCATGGGGTCCTCACCACTCCACGACCGTGGTCCAGGGGAGCCTTGCCCCAAGGGCTCTGCGCCCCAAAAAAGGCCTATTCTGACTTCCTGAGTTGAGCCCCTACCATAACTGAGGCCAGGCCTTTATCCATCCACCCTCTTTAACAGGAAAACCTTGTCCTAGTCATAGGTAGTTCTAAAATAAATGGATGTTAGAAAAAACACACGGAAATACAACCTAAGAGAAACAGATGAAAGTCTAATAAAGCTTCTTAGAAACACTCACATCACAAAGCACCAGGTAAATGGTATTTCGAACCATCAGAATAAGCTGCACTTAAACTCTTACGAACCCTCACACGCCCCCAGGCAGCAAGCCCGACTCCATGTGGAGTTTCTCTCCTTTACAAAGCAATAAAGCCATGGTCACTGGAACATGAATGTAAGTTATTGTCTGGGTGGGTGGGTGGGTGGGTGGGTGTGTTATTGTCTGGTTATGTGTGTTATTGTGTGTTATTGTCTGGTTGTGCGTGTGTGTTGTCTGGTTGTGTGTGTGTGTGTGTTATTGTGTGTGTGTGTGTGTTATTGTCTGGTTATGTGCGTGTGTGTGTTATTGTCTGGTTGTGTGCATGTGTGTTATTGTCTGGTTGTGTGTGTGTGTTATTGTGTGTGCGTGTTATTGTCTGGTTGTGTGTGTGTGCGTGTGTGTGTTATTGTGTGTGTGTATATATACACAGTTCGAAGCACAGTCTTTTTTTTGAGAGGGAGTCTCACTCTGTCATCCAGGATAGAGCTGGCTCACAGCAACCTCCGCCTCCTGGATTCAAGCGATTCTCCTGCCTCAGTCTTCTGAGTGGCTGGGATTACAGGCACCCTCCAACACACCCGGCTAATTTTTGTATTTTTAGTAGAGACAGGGTTTCACCACGTTGGCCAGGCTGGTGTCGAACTCCTGACCTCATGACCTGCCGTGGCTTCCCAAACTCCCAGGATTACAGGCATGAGCCACCGCAACCGGCCAGCCTCACTTTTTTAAGTTAAAATATAGTAAATATGGCCAGAATTTAGTGTGCAATATGTTGAGACCCTGACATGTAGCTAGATATGGAACTAATCTCCAAATCCAGCATTTCCCTAATGGTCATTTAAGAAATGCCTTCTTCCTATAAACAGGGAAGCGGGCAGGGCAGGGTATAGACACTCCAGTTAAGGGGGGCATGAGGTGGGCCCGAGGGGCGGCTGGGTCTTATTCTGTACCTTCCATGATTAAAGACCCTCAAGCCCCTCCACAAAGAAAATATGGAGTATGTGGTTGGTAGGCTTTTTCTTTTTGAGACAGGGTCTCGCTCTGTCGCTCAGGCTGGAGTGTAGCAGTATCATCACCGCTCGCTGTAACCTCTGCCTCCTGGGCTCAAGTGATCCTCCCACCTCAGCCTCCAGAGTAGCTGGGACTACAGTCGTGAGCCACCACACTCAGCTAATTTTTTTTTATTTTTTGTAGAGACAGGGTTTCGCCATGTTGCCCAGGCTGCTCTTGAAATCCTGGACTCACGCAATCACCTGCCTCAGCTCCCAAAGTGCTGTGATTACAGGCATGACTTACTGTGCCCAGCCAGTAGGCTATTTTTAACATAACCTGTTTATACATCTGCAGTTAAAAGAAAAAAGGATTTTCCCTCCAATAAAGAGAAAACAGTTGCCCCCGCACCACCCTCATCACTAAGCCATGTAGTTCCGATATGTTTTTAAGAATCATTTACTCATTACAAGAAACCCTCAAAGAAACTCTACAGATGTTACTGGATACTTAATGAATTCAAAAGCTATAAGCATACATACATTTCTTCTCTATGTTTTTCGTATTCTATGTTTCAAACTTACCCATTGTTAAATTTTCTCAAATAGCAAGATGCTCCTACACATCTAGTAAATAGCCAACAAAACACAGATACACAGAAAGAGAAAAACCTACACAGTCTCAAGGGTTACAATTATTGGTGTGTGAGCTGACCAAAGGGAATATTTTGCAGATTTCAAAGTGTCCTGGGGGTAGCCCCAGGCTTCCACAAGCAGGTGGGCTGCCCAGCTCAAACAGGGCACACCACATTCCTCTGTTTTAGACCCTGGCCACCTGGTTAAGATGTCCTCTGAGAAAGCTGTTTCTTGGTAAAACACAGTTTGAAAACCCTCTCTGCAAACTTCAAAACTTCTGTCCATTAGCAGGAATAGATAAGGAAGACAGGAGAATGCTAACGGAAAGGAGAGGCCGGGTTTCCAACTTTCCTACATTTCAATATGAAATGCATTGGTCAAACGATCCACACTTCACAAACCCCATGCAGACGAATCTATTTCCATAAAACACAAAACATGTAGGTCCAGACGTTCTCCTACAGCCATGCTTCCTTCTGCTCTACATGAAGAGGGTGAGAGCATGGCGGCACTGGCCCCCAAATCCTCTTCCTCTCAGCAAGGGAGGCTCCCTCACCTCCTACCTTCCTAACCTGTGCCTACGTTAAATATAGCAGCCGCTCCAATGACTTCTTGGTATCAGTTAGTCTCTATTTAATAACAAACTGAAAGGCACTTACCTGCCAGCCCTTGTCCGCTGTCCTATAGTAGGGATAATTTTTAGTGATGTGTGTATAAATCCCATTCAGGGTGAGCTGTTTGTCGGGCGCCATTGTAATTGCTTGTACTATTAGTTGTGCATACGAGTAGGGTGGCTTTGAATCATCCTGTATTTAAAAATAAAAACAAAAAGAGAGTACTGAAGTTACCACATTTTTTACTAAATTTACTAGATTTACAGATTCTCGATGCTTTGATACCTCATTTTTTATTTTTGAGACTGAGTCTCACTCTGCCACCCAGGCTGGAGTAATGTGGTGTGATCTCGGCTCACTGCAACCTCTACCTCCAGGTTCAAGCAATTCTCCTGCCTCAGCCTCCTGAGTAGCTGGGATTACAGGCACCCACCACGCCCAGCTAATTTTTATTTTATTTTATTTTATTTTTTGAGACAGAGTCTTGCTCTGTCGCCAGGCTGGACTGCAGTGGTGCAATCTCAGCTCACTGCAACCTCCGAGTCCTTCATTCAAAAGATTCTACCACCTCAGCCTCTGGGTGGCTGGGACCACAGGCACGTGCCACCACGTCTGGCTAATTTTTGTATTTTTAGTACACATGAGGTTTCACCATGTTGGCCAGGATGGTCTCGCTCATGATCCACCCACCTTGGCCCCCCAAAGTGCTGGGATTACAGGCGTTAAGTCAGCACGCCCAGCCTAATTTTTATATTTTAAGTAGAGATAGGGTTTCACCATGTTGGTCACGCTGGTCTCAAATTCCTGACCTGAGGTGATCTGTCTGCCTTGGCCTCCCAAACTGCTGGGATTACAGGTGCGAGCCACCTCGCCCGGGCTGTTACCTCATTTTTCTTACTATAAAAGTAATCTAGTTTGAAAACATGGAAGAAACTAATAAAAAACTATAGATTATAAAGAAAAATACTAAAAATCACATAAGGAAAAAAAATCCAAATGTCAAAAATCAAGAAATAAAGGCTGCTTGACCTCAGTGGAGTCCAAGGAAAGCACCTCAGTCAGGACCAGATCCTGCTGGCTACCCCAGGGGCACAGAACAGGGGTGGGGAAGGCTGGCTGAGGGCAGAGCCAGAGGCACCCCTCCCCAGGCATGAGCACCAGGGGTGGCCAGGGCTGCTCAGAGCCCCAGACTCACCAAACACTCCTCCACAAGGAGCCCCTGCCCACGAGGAGCAGCCCCCTGACCCATGAAGAGCCCCATGGAGGCTCCACCTCGGGGTCAGAGACATGCTGGCTGCTATGTGCCCCGCTGCCAGGCTGACAACCCCAGTCCTGGCTCTTTCAAGGCCACTGGTGGCTCCTTGTCATGGTGACAAGTTGAAACCCACACACGTCGGCACAAGCCCACTGGGGAAAGGCAACTGCCTCCGGTTGTGAACTTCTGGGCAATACACGTATCAACATGGATGAAGAGCAACAGATAATGCTAGATGAAAAAATTCATTTTCAAAACAATACATCCAAGATGATACTATTTATATGAAGTTTTACAGTGAACAATTATAGATATTATTCAAGGATAAACACAAATAGAACAAAAACCAGGCAGGCTGACAGGCAGGAGGCAAGGACATCAGACGCGCCCAGGGCATCCAGGAGGGCACCACGGTCTTCCACAGCACAGGCCGTGCTCAGCACCAGCACCTCAGGGTGGGCACAGGGAGGGTTCTCTTTTTTTTTTTTTCTTGGGGTGATAGGGTCTCACTCTATCATCCAGGCTGGAGTAGAGTGGTGTGATCTTGGCTCACTGAAGTCTGAGCTCCTAGGGCTCAGGTGATCCTCCCCAGTAGCTGGGACTCCAAGTGCATGCCACCATGCCTGGCTAGTTTTTGGTATTTTTTGTAGAGACAGGGTCTTGCTTTGTTTCCCAAACTCCTGAGCTCAAGTGATCCGCCCACCTTGGCCTCCCAAAGTCAACTTTGGCATTTTTTTTCTGAACAGAAAAATGTAATCACAAGAAGACCCTCCACATGCCCCATTTTTTTTTTCAGACAGGATCTTGCTATGTTTGTGGCCCAGGCTGGAGTACAGTGGCCACTCAAGGCTGTCACTAGACAGGCAGGTGGCACTGAGGGCCCTGTAGCTGCGTGGTGTCCCCGGGGCTGTTCAAGGCTACAAAGCCTTTACCTTCGGGCTGTCTCCACCTGAAGCTTCCTTTTCATTTTCAGGCTGTGAGTTGTCAGCCATTAAATTGAGGTCAGATGGCATCACTCGGCCCACCTTGTACCCTGAAGACCCCGCTCCCCGGGGGCTGGAGGGGCAGGAGTTTGCAGCGCTGTGGAAGAGAAAAGGTTGTTCCCATGAGTCTATCACAGAGCACAATCCTACTGTGCGTCAACAACTGGCTCTAATTACAGGAAAAACAAATATGAAAATGTTAAAAATAATGATAATAATAACAAAAAAAGGAAATATCAGCATTTCCTATGGAAACACAGATTTTTTTTTTTTTTCCAAGATGGAGTCTTGCTCTGTAGCCCAGGCTGGAGTACAGTGGCGCAATCTAGGCTCACTGCAACCTCCACCTCCCAGGTCCCAGTTCAAGCAATTCTCCTATCTCAGCCTCCCAAGTAGCTGGGATTACAGGCACGAGCCACCATGCTGAGCTAATTTTTGTTATTTTTTAGTAGACACGGGGTTTCACCATGTTGGCCAGTCTGGTCTTGAACTGCTGACCTGAGATCCGCCCGCCTCGGCCTCCCTATCAATTATAGAACATTCGATTATAAAGACACATGCACATGTATGTTCACTGCAGCACTATTTACAATAGCAATCACTTGGAACCAACCCAAATGCCCATCAATGATAGACTGGATAAAGAAAATGTGGCACATATACACCACGGAATACTATGAAGTCATAAAAAAGGATGAGTTCATGTCCTTTGTAAGGACATGGATGAAGCTGGAAACTATCATTCTCAGCAAACTGACATAAGAACAGAAAACCAAACACGGCATGTTCTCACTCAAAGGCGGGTGCTGAACAATGAGAACACATGGACACAGGGAGGGGAATGTTACACACCGGGGCATGTCGGAGGGTGGGGGATATAGGGGAGGGATAGCAGGGGGATGGGGAGATTGGGGAAGGCTAACATTAGGAGAAATACCTAATGTGGATTAGGGGGTGATGGATGCAGCAAACCAGCATGGCACATGTATACCTATGTAACAAACCTGCACGTTCTGCACAGGTACCCCAGAACTTAAAGTATAATAAAAGAAAAAAAAAAAGATAGAAAATTTACCACTGTAACCATTTTAAAGTGCACACTTCAGCAGCACGAAGCGCATTCACATAGATGTGTAGCCATCACACCACCTGTCTCCAGAATGTTCTCACCTTCCCAAACTGAAGATCGGTCCTCAAGAAACACCAGCTCCCCTCTCCACTCCCAGCCCCTGGCCACCTCCATTCTACCTTCTGTCTCTGCAAATCTGATACTCTAGAAATCTCAGTGACTGGCTTATTTCACTGACATAACGTCCTGGGTTACTTCATGTCTCGGCACACGTCAGGATTTCCTTCGTCAGGCTGAATAATATCCCACTGTGTCTTCTATCTTCTGGAGATTGTGCACAACACTGCTATGAGAACGAGCGTACAAATATTCCTTTAAGACCCTGCCTTCAGTTTGGGTCTACATTCAGAAGTGGGGCTGAAGGATCATACGGTCATTCTATTTTTAACTTCTGCAGGAACTGCTAGACTGTTTTCCACAGCGGCCGCACTGTTTTGCGTTCCTTGCAATGGTGCGCAACAGTTCCAGTTTCCCCACATCCTTACTCACATTGTCTTCTGGGTTTGATGTTTTTAGTAGCAGCCAATCCAATGGTGTGAGGTGGGAGGTCACTGTGTTCTGACTGGCATTCACCTAATAATGACTGATAGTGAATATCTTCTCAAGTCCTTATTGGTCATTTCTATATCTTCTTTGGAAGAAGGTGTTTCCCATTTTTTTGAACTGGGTGTTTTGCTTCTTTGATGTTGAGATTCAGGAGGTCTCTCTATAATCTAGATATTAATTCCTTGTCAGATGTATGATTTGCAAATATTTTCTCCCTTTTTACTATTTATGTTGTCTTTTGGTGCACGAATTTTTAAAGTTTGAGAAGTTCGATCTGTCTTTTTCTTTTGCTGCCTATGCCTTTGGTATCAAATCCAAGACATCAATGCCAAATCCAATGTCATGAGGGTTTTGCCTATGTTTTCTTCTAAGAGTTTTACAGTTTCAGGCCTTAAATTTAGGTCTTTGATCCACTTTGAGTTAATTTTTGCATATGGTATAAGGGCCCAACTTCATTATTTTCCATGTGGACATACAGTTTACCTAGTACTTGCTGGAAAGTCTGAAAGAATGGTGTTGGCACCCTTGTCAAAAATCGGCTGGCTCACACCTGTACTCTCAATACTTTGGGAGGCCGAGGCAGGTGAATTACATGAACCCGGGAGGCAAAGGTTGCGGTGAGCCAAGATGACGCCACTGCACTCCAGCCTGGGCGACAAGAACAAAACTCCATGTCCAAAACAAAAAAACCGTAATTTGACTACATCATGTGAGGGTTTATTTCTAGGCTCTCTATTCTTCCTTTTTTTTTTTTTTTTTTAATGAGATGGAGTTTTACTCTTGTCACACAGGCTAGAGTGCAATGGTGTGATCTCGGCTCACCGCAATCTCAGCCTCCCAGGTTCAAGCGATTCTCCTGCCTTGGCCTCCCAAGTAACTGGGATTACAGGCATGAGCCACCACTCCCGGCTAATTTTCTGTATTTTTAGTAGAGACAGGGTTTTGCCAGGTTGGGAAGCCTGGTCTTGAACTCCTGACCTCAGGTGATCCGCCCGCCTCGGCCTCCCAAAGTGCTGGGATTACAGGTGTGAGCCACTGAGCCTGGCCTGTTCTTCCTTATCTTTAAAAACAAAGACAAGATGTTTAATTGGCTCATGGTTCTTCAGGCTGTGGGCTCTCTAAAAAAATTCAAAATTAAAATTAAAATCTATCTCGGACTTTAGACCACTGTCTGCCCCTTCCACTTATACTCCAATACAAACAAGGCCAGGCACGGTGGCTCACGCCTGTAATCCCTGCACTTTGGGAGGCCAAGGCAGGCAGATCACAAGGTCAGGAGTTCAAGATCAGCCTGGCCAACATAGTGAAACCCCATCTCTACTAAAAATACAAAAATTAGCCTGGCCCGGTAGCACATGCCTATAATCCCAGCTACTCAGAAGGCTGAGGCAGGAGAGTTGCTTGAACCTGGGAGACGGAGGTTGTAGTGAGCCAAGATCATGCCACTGGATTCCAGCCTAGGCAACAGAGTGAGACTCTGTTTCAAAAAAAAAAAAAAAAAAGAATCCAGGCCAGGCACAGTGGAACACATCTGTTGTCCTAGCTACTCAGGAGGTCAAGGCGGGAGGATCACTTAAGTCCAGGAGTTTAAGTCCATCCTGGGCAACACAGCCAGAACCCATCTCTTAAAAAAAAAAAAACTCTAAAAACATCTTTTTGAACTAAAACAGATTTACAAGAAAAAAACAAACCCACTCAAAAGTGGGTGAAGGATATGAACAGACACTTTTCAAAGGAAGACATACATGAGGCCAACAAACATATGAAAAAGTGCTCATCATTGCCGGGCGCGGTGGCTCACGCCTGTAATCCCAGCACTTTGGGAGGCCGAGGCGGGTGGATCACGAGGTCAAGAGATTGAGACCATCCTGGTCAACATGGTGAAACCCCGTCTCTACTAAAACTACAAAACATTAGCTGGGCATCGTGGTGCGTGCCTGTAATCCCAGCTACTCAGGAGGCTGAGGCAGGAGAATTGCCTGAACCCAGGAGGCGGGGGTTGCGGGTGAGCCGAGATCGCGCCATTGCACTCCAGCCTGGGTAACAAGAGT